ATACCCATTCAATCGCCATTTTATAGGCAATTTCCTTAAACACCCCTTATAGACCAACTTCGTGAATGAGGCATACTAACGGTAAGACTGACTTTTACTCATACATATATATAATATTAGACTTTTAATGTTATATATAGTATAGGGTGTGTTTTATACTTTTAAAATACTATATGGTTAACTTTAACAATTACACTTTTAATTCAATTAAAAGGTTAACCTAAACCTTTATGGATTTATTAAATCTCTTTTAATTATACTCCTTAATTAATTAATAAAACCATAAGGTGTGATTTGAACTTTTCAAAACATTACTAGGGTTTTAGAATTTAACATTCCTAATTAAACTTTTAATCAACTTTTAAATTCCAAAACTTGAGGGCAAATTTTGAAACCTTTTTCAAAACATTAGGGTTTTAACTATTTAAATTTCAAAACTCCAAAACTTTTGGGTTCAAATTTAAACTATAAAAACCTAAAGGGGAAAATATGAAACCTTTCATAACAACAAGGATCAAATAACAAATAATTTTAAATTAACATTTAATCACATAATTATCCATATTTGATTTATTTAATGATTTCTTGCAAAACAATTTATCAATTTACTCAAAATAATTAATCAATTATCTTATAAGGAAACAATTATCTTGTTAATTGATAATTATCTTTAATTAGATCAAGAATATAGTCATATATATCATAAAATCGGATTTATATTGATCTAACATGATAAGGTAACTATCCATATGCAAAAACAACAAGAAATCCCGAGATAAGCATTATCTGACGAGTTGACTCGTCGAGTCAGGCATGGACTCGTCGAGTCTACATGGACTTGGCGAGTTCAGCCATGGACTCGGCGAGTCCAGCCTCTATAAGCCAAAAAATCGAAATTTTCAGTTATACAATGCATCAATACAATTGAAACCAAACTAGGCTCTGATACCACTGATGGGTTTTAGTCATAAGACATCCTATGTGCTCATACAAACCCTAATGCTTGGATCTAGGTTTCTCTATTGTACATGCTTTGAATCCAAGACTATAAACCCTAATTCTAGCATACAAGTAATCATATTAATATGTAATTAGGTTTAAGATCATACCTTGATTGTTATGTAGCAATAACAATCCTAATTCCTCCTTGAATTGACTTTGGAAGGCTTAGAGTCACAAGTGTCACTCCTCTAATGGTTCACAAACACCATAAGCAAGAGGATGAAGAGGAGAGAGGTTGGAGGCTGCCAAAAACGTGTAGAAACCCTAGTAAGATCATTAGCCACGTTTTTTAGCCTTAAAGGGTCTTTATATAGTTGGGCTATTAGGGTTATCTAACAAGGAAACCCTAATTTGGATGCTTAAGCCCTAAGCAACCCATAGACTCCTTTTATCAAGCCCATGGACGATTTCCTTATGGGTTTCCCATTAGAATTCGTCCATCCCTTAATACAAGGCAATCCATGGCCCAAATTGCAATTATCTTATAATTACAGTTCCAGTCCCTTAAGTTTAATTAATCTCTTTTAGTCACAAAACTAATTACCAATTAATTATTGACTAATATTAATTAAACAATATGATTTCTCCTTTAATATATTATTCTTATAATACATTAATAAATCATATTTAATCCTTACTCTTCATAAATCATCCTATCAAGTTGCTTTGGTGAAGGCAACCCAAAAGGACCATGCACCATCGGGTCAAGTACATACCAAAATAGTTATGGACTTAGACACTAATCCAACAATATTAAACAATGAATATAGAAAATCTCTATGATTGTACACAAAATTAAAATAAGTAGTATTAAATCTAGAGTCAATAAAAATGATAATAATGTATATAATTACAATAATAATAACTGATAAGAAAATCATATGACCATTACCAAATTAATATGTAACATTGAAAATTGAAATGAAACACATTAATTAGTTCAAAATAATTAAACTTTGAATGTTAAACATCAATGAATAAATAAAAAATTAAGCGTATAAACATAAAACTTAAAAAAGAAACCTATTTAGTAGAATAGAAATGGTTAATATTATTG